CAAAAAATTCCATAAGATTCTATGCTAGCTAAACCTAGATATATTCTAATCTCATGAGTAACGGTGTGCACCAATGCAATGAAAGTTCCTCTGCACAATCCACAGAAATCTTTCTGCGCATTTCCAAAAAATTTAAACTTTAGCTCAGCCTTACCGGCCCACGTCTCTGCTGTTTATATTAGCAGAATGATCGTTCCTAGAATTGGGATTGTTCTAGGCTTCAACGCGACTGATTATCTCTCGCCATCAACGGTGTTTACTCCTGTGAATAGAGTTCCTTTGTAGGCTCTACCAAAATCTTTTTTGAACACTGAAAATTTTAAGTTGAGCTCAGCTGTGCGTGCCACGCGCCCCTGTTATCTCCATACACCTCATATATATCGTTTGCAAGCCGGAGGAGTTCCGATGATGGTTAATCCTCAGGGTATTCTAACCTCATCATTAACAAAGTTTTGTCCTAGAAGTTCACACGTGCTCTCAAAACCCCGCCGAACAAGATTGAGAAACTTAAACTTTGGCTCATATCTATTTAGAGCGCCTCTGTTGTCTTTGCATACCCTTTGACGATATCTTTTTAAAACTGAAATCCTAGGCCAGCCGGACCTTAGTATACTCCAATTTTCTGACTATCGATGTTCTCCCCTCTAATGAGGGCCTCTTTTTACTTTTTGCAGAAGTAGTATTTTGTCAAGTGAGATCAGTGCCGAGAAGCATCTCTTATCATCCAGAGTGCTCGAGTGACGAAATCGATCACGGTAGTATGAAGCGTTCTGTATTATTGGGATAATTTTATCATTATTGGCTAATGATACTAATCCTCGCATAATCGAGGCCAATCGAGTCTTCCACACTTTCGGAGTTGGTGGATTGGTACAGGCTCATCGGAGAGGATAAAAACGCTGAACTTTTCGTCGACTGGTGGCCCCAAGTCATTGTGCAGGCCACATAATTATTCTATACGCTACTATGGTTCTGAATGGGAGTCCAATGCGTTGGCGCTCCTCGCAAACGGGATTGATTGAGGCTAGGAACTCTTCTCTTTCTAGGTTTATCATTCCACTTCTAGGTGGGATACCCTAGCATAGTTCTCTACAACAAAGCTTAATACACAAGATATTCTCAATTTGAATGCACTCAGAATCCTCAAAGACAGATGTTGCTGCAGGCTATGTGAAACTGAAGGTTGACAGAGAAGGCATGCCAGTAGCCTTAGAGGGTGCGCCATAATTATAGTGGAACAGAACACTTTGCCACGCACGCGGGAACTTTATTGCCTCAGCTGTCAAGCTTGAATAATTAATTGAGTGAAAGCAGAGACAAGGTAAATCAAACGAGTAATGGGGTATAGTAATGAGGTTAGAGCATAAAAGGCACCAAAGCAAGGCAAAGCAACTTAGAAAGATACAAACACAGCATGGATAGATAAAAAGGTTCCAAAGATCTAAGAAATCAATAAGAACCTGAATCTTCCTGCACCAGATAGCACTCTCAAGGGATCAGGGCAATGCACTAAGTTGCACCGGATTGCATCAAAACCAATATAAGCACCAACTGCTTCAAACATGAATGCACCAAAGCACCAATAGAAGCACCGAAAGCGTCACAGCATCAGCTTACTGATCCAACTAGCGAACGGCCGAACTGAGAAGCATCCGTTGCGACGGCGAGCTTATATGTCTACCATATCTATTGGGTTGTAACATAAGTTCGTAGAGTTTTGTGTTAGGGTCATTTTACAACGAATCGCTTTGTTTTTTGGCGAAGTGTATATACTCATTCGAAGGAGCTCTTTCTCCTCTATAAAATAGTTTTATTCGTTTTTTGGATAATCTAGTTCACGTCATTTTTCTGGCTCAGAATTGGAATATCCAGGAGGAGAAAATCAGCATTTTCGACATCTGCTTTTCATTGAGGTCAATAAGCAGCTGAAGCCGCTCGGGACATATGCAGTGTGTACGAGGAAGGTGTCTTAGGTGTGTCTCTGGGTGGCCCCAGGAGAGCCACCGAAGCCGGGAGTCAAGCAAAACCTTCACTCAAAATAGGTCATGATTTGCGTTTGGTGAGACTGGAAAGGCACGGTGCACTGGGAAATGCTCGAACGAAATGCTACTGTCAACGAGGAGGTCTACATTGCCCAGCTAAACCGTGTTAGTNGAGGTCAATAAGCAGCTGAAGCCGCTCGGGACATATGCAGTGTGTACGAGGAAGGTGTCTTAGGTGTGTCTCTGGGTGGCCCCAGGAGAGACACCGAAGCCGGGAGTCAAGCAAAACCTTCACTCAAAATAGGTCATGATTTGCGTTTGGTGAGACTGGAAAGGCACGGTGCACTGGGAAATGCTCGAACGAAATGCTACTGTCAACGAGGAGGTCTACATTGCCCAGCTAAACCGTGTTAGTGCGGCTTTTCGGCTGAAAAGACCCGATAGACAAGGTGAAGTCATCTTGCTCCACGACAACGCCAGGCCCCATAATGCCCAAGTCGCCAAAACAGCACTCCAAAAGCTTGAATGAGGGGTTCTTCAGCATCCACTGTACTCTCCGGATCTTCGCCTCCCGACTACCACCTTTCCGCTCTCTGTCAAACCAAATGAGGGGTGTTACCTTCGATGGCTCTTCTTGGAAACTGGCTCAACAACTTCTTCGACACCAGACCGGCCAATTTTTGGCGAAACGGCATCAACAAATTGGTCGAGAGTTTGGAGGAGGTCGCAAACAGTAACAGGAAGATACATCATTGATTAATTTATAATTATAATTATTGTTTTTTGTTAAAACAAATCTCTGTGAAAAAACTCTACGAACTTATGTTACAACCCAATATGTTTCAATCTCCGAAGGAGATTGGCAGAGGCGTAAAGGGTATAGCATTGGGAACGGTTAGAAGAGAACAAACGTTTATCGTTTTGTGATATATGGTAACATAACAAATGTTGTGCAGAAACCGCAATTCATATTGATACATAGTATATTTATGTGAACTACTTGCTATAAAACGCATTAAGCTAATAAGCGCACTATTATCTGATGTTACCGTCCAGTTACAGCTTAAGATGCTTCGGCTATTCATTGACGGCAGCTTGAAAGTTCCCTGAGAAATTCCAGCCAGGGCTTTTCCCAATGACATCTTGATAACAGCAATGATGTGTTTAAGAGCGCAGGCTTCGTTCTCCAGTATACACCGTACCCGCTGACCCATTGGATTGCTAGCCGAAAATTCGTAGGCCCTTTGTCAGTAGGGTTGGAATTGAGCATCTCAGTACCAGTCTTGGCCCTTTTCCATTCGTGAGAAAGTGAGCGAGTGTTCCGAAATCGTTTACTTGAAGTAATCTTTGACTCCAAGCAGTACCTTCTCGAAACTCGAAAATACCCCTAATGAAATACTCTGATTAATTCTTACCGGTGCCATCAGAGCAAAATAGCTTACTTTTGCTGACAAAGTAAGCGATTTTGCTCCGATGGCACAGTTTCCAGCGAAAACCATCATAAAAAAGAGGGAAAACAGCTACAGGGAACGATCTGGCTCTTCTCAGCTACCTCGCCACTTGTAGTGAGAACTATGCGTGTACTCTGGGATCTGAACATTTCTTTCACACTGAAAATCCTTTCGTCAGAAAAAATTGTGTCGAAGAGTGCGCCACGTGCTATTGGGGCTCGGTAATTGTTCTTCATATGGAATTTCTTCTCGTAAAAAATTATAAGAATCTCGAAACTTATGTGGATGCGATTGTGTTTGCTAGAGGAAAACTTTTTGCATCGAAGTAGAGCATACATTCAAGTCGGCAGTCATCTTTTTCGTGTTCGTAATGTGGATGGAAGAGGGGTCGTAATCAAGGCGACACGATCAACTTAAGGCTGGTCGTTGATCTGAACACGCATCGCGATACAAGAGACTGTCATGCGGAAAATGTCCAACCACGAAAGGTTTTGGAAACGGGCTCACTAAAGGCGCGCAAAGAAGGAACGGCTACCGAAGAATTGCGAGCCTCCACCATTTTCGAAAGCTGACGACTTGAGGGCAACAAAGCAGATAGCAGATGATAAGGTCTCTGACAAGCATAAGAGAAAGTGCAGATTTGGGAAAATCTTTAGACAAGTAAACTGCGGAAATTTGCTTAGTCATTACCATATTTATGGCTCACCCTGTACTAGTGATTGATCGGCAAACATTTGATCGAATTTATGCTCTTTCGGAATAGTTTAATTACCTCGAGCTCAACAAATGTCGTTGTTTTGTCTACTTTTCGAGCTCAAAGAACCAACTTTTGTTTCTAGAATTTGAAAAAAAATGAAAATATGCCCTACTCTCTAAGATTTTATTTAACGACCGTTCTGAGCATGATGATATTTCTCGCTATTATCTATCCATAAAAAATTATAATTAAAGAAGAGAGCTAATGTGACAAAAATTTTCAAACAAAATATTCATGCTGTGATAGCTTATCCATTTTAGTACTTGGAAAATTTGCATATCAATTCTCATGAGTTGCTGGATGGGCCCGTGGAGGGACGCGACATTGGAAAAGAATTGGTTCAGTGATTCTCGATTGCGAAAGGAATCGACTGGCTCAACGGTGAATCATGAAGGACCTGGCGGTCTGACATCAAAATCACAAATATATGATAGGACAACATGTCGGTCCTGGTACCGGTATTTAAAATTACGCAAATTCCTGCAATCTTATCGAGTGCGATATTTGTCGCAGCTCTCTTCTCCATCCACTGGTGAATAGATATTTTTGGACCAAACTCCGAAGGACTGTTTAAAAGTGCTCTCGATCATAGAAGCTCTTGTTTTGCAGAAATCGAGCGAGCTAGCAAAGCAATTGGCAATTAGTTGGTGAGAAATCGGGAGAATACGGGAGGGGACTACATGGCCAACTTTGTGTACTAAAGGTTCCGACGTCCTCTTAGCGTCGAACCCTTATTACCGTTAGATGGCCCCAGGTCGACCCAAATACTTGCAACAATACGAGACAATTAAATACAACCTTTATGAATATTCATGCGCGGATAAACAAGGCATCTTCACGACATCGATGTACATAGACTTGGAATAGCCGGAGAAAGATCAACGTGTCGATGAGACTCAAAGAGAGAGGAGTGTAAGTGACGGTCTCCTGACCGTTCCTGACGCCGCTTCGTGTTCGAATCCCCCTCGGCATCTTCGCCTCCCGTCCCGCCCATTCGATCGGCTCTCCGACTATCTGAAACAAAGCGTCTGGAATGTAAACATGTGTCGTGATTACTGGGAATCTAATCCCCAACTAGATAACAGAAATGTAAAAAGCATGATATACCTAAGTTTGAACACTCTCACCGTTACATCTCCCCCCTCGGACTTATGGCTGAATAGGAGGGTGCATGGAGTTGTCGAAAAAGTTCAGATCCGTGATGAGATGACGTTGATTGCACCAGCGAACTACGTTCGCCCATACGGCCGTTTTACGAAGGCAAGGAAGAAAACCTAGGATGAACATACCATCTTTAGCACGAGATAGTGCTACATTGAGTCGCTTGACGTCTGAAAAGAAAGAAGCCGCAGCGGTCCTTTCTATCTGAGTGCGGGTGGTGCAAAGGATGACAATGGACCGTTCCTTACCTTGAGCGCTATCTACAGTAGATACTACGACTCCAGTTTCTTGTAATATACGTTCGCATAGTAGTTTTTGGTCGCGATATAGGCAAATAACCATGACATCTGTTGGCGGGATACCTTTAACTGTAAGGAGACGTACTAGCACATGCGCCGCGGTCGCTTCTACGGTATTGCTATGCGACCCAGTGACTGATTGAAAAGAATAGGAAGAGATGTTAATCAATGCTAAAGGTATTTTGGGAGAGCAATCCCTGACGAAGGGACACTGGTACGCCGCGGATGAGTGTGCCGCTGTAAAACAACTCGGAGTTGAGTTGCATCACTTCGATGTGAGGGCGGTATACCGTTCGGAGGTGAGATATTGGTGTCCATGCTGGATTCGCAACCAGATCTAAAACTGACCGAGAGCTTACAGCGACAGAGAACGGAACATTTTGGACGCCTACGTAGGGGGGAAGCTGCTTGCTATCCCCAATTAGCGTTACCAGTGCATTTGGAAAACGTGAAATCAGTGCCATTAAAGTAGCTGCCGGTACCATCGAGGCTTCATCCAAAATGAATATGTGCCATGAATTGCCGATCCTACGCCACAAACCTTTCTTACGCCTAAGGTTGAGTGCCGTAGAAACAGTACAGAGATATACGTTCGGCCTATATGATTTGATAAATTTGCGCGTGAGAACCTTCAACTTCCACGAAGTACGCTCTTCTAAAAACAAAAGCTTCTTGTGTTCCGTGCTGACGATGTTAGCAGCTGTGCCTGAAAACATAAAGTTGCGTAGTTGACGGCGATCATCGGAAAATTGCTTGAATGCCTCGTATAACGCTTGTAGCATTAGGTGCCCATGGGTAACATGGAATTTTTCCATGAGGCTTTGAAGTGCAAAAGCGGACTCATGCTTGATGTTTTGGGCAACGGCTTCACTGATATACCGAACAGCTCTAATGTGCTGGGATTGCATTTCATCTATTTTCGCTGGTTGGCGTTCAGTTTGATTTGCGATCCTGCCACAGTGACAGTGATGGCATCTTGGTCTGGGTAATCATACCCGCTGACTTGTACGTCGCCTGCCAATAGAAGGCGGGCAGCTTTCCAACCTATTGTGTTTGGTGTTAACTTTGCCATAGCTGATGATTGTTCCATTAACGCTAAAACGGGGTTGGCACGTTCATCCACGGTGTGCAGGAACGTTCCTACTGCGATTCGTTGGTTCTTTGATGCCAACAGATACGCCCTGCAGCGGACCCCATCGTTCGTGTCCAACCGTATGGTGACATCAAGATAGCCCTCTTCCATTTCTATGTCTACTATTTGAGCGTGCATCAAATCTTGTTCATACGCACCCTGGATTGAACGCCCCACGGCCCAACCGGCTTTTTTGCGCATGGGAATGCGAAATTGAGCGAGGACGGAGAAACTGTTAATATTTGGAGAGGACCATATAGCTGCGTGCACTGTTGTGTCCGTAGACTCAGCAATGCATGCTGTTATAGTACCGCAGGCAGTGCTATACAAAGCTGCCAGGAAGGAACCGACATCATTGGGTCGTTCACGGAATAAATCAAAGTTGTGTAATTTCTTCCTTACCAATTCCTGATGTTCCTTGCTCGTTAGTCGGATATCAAACGGTGCGGGAGCTTGACTCGGATAGTATGGAACGTCTGCCATGAAAGATGCCAACTCCTTATCTGTACCCTTCCACTGACATGTGAAGACCATATAGTCTATTTGGCGTTCGCGAAATGGTGCCACTATGAATGTATCGGTGTCCATACGAGGAGCTTCACCCGGTTCAGCCAGACGGAAAAGTGAGGCTTGTACAATTTGGCGGTGCCCTTGCATACACAAAGAAATCCTGAAAGGGTTACGCTGAATAGATGTGATAAAGCCCAACGTAGGATTGAGGTCACGGTGTACTAGAGCAAAGCGGCCTACTCTCCATACGTTTGGCTTACGGTATGCCATGGCTTCAGTTACTGTTCGAGGCAATTCCATGTCTGAAGTGGCAAACTTTACCGTAGCAACTAAAGAGTAAACCCATACTAGGTCTCCAATAATAAGCTTTGTCAGCGCGATACCGCTCTTACCTGTAAGGATATTAATGGCAAAACAATCGAACTGGATGGTATGCAAATCGAGGCGGTCGGGAAGGGCAACCTCAACATGTACGGTCTCAAGTTCCGCGCCTTTACCAAAGACATTTTTGACTCTATACAATACAGGTGCTACCGTACCGTCAAGAACCAAACCTCGAACAGAGAGATTTTGTTCTTCAAGTGATGCGCCTGCCACCAACGGCATCTTGGGCAGCGGCTCACCCTTTCTTCGTAACTCGATAAGATTAGAGCAGTCGTTATTCTTTCGAAAGTTTTCTACGGCGTTTGGACCGACCGCAGCTAGAATCGAAACCCAGCCCACAGGTTCATGGTCCGGACTGCACTGAATCGGACAGAGACCATCAACGAGGCCATTGTATCCTGAAACGGGAATTCTTTGCGAACTCAGCTTTTGACAAGTTAGTATTGTAAGCTTTTGATACTGGTGGAGAGATTTTTGGGCATAATAGGTTAGCTCACGGATGATTGACAAGTTTTTCTAATGGCTTACTGAGCTTACGCTCTAATGGTACGTCCAATGGTTTCGCTCGTACGGTACTTTAGCGACACCTGCTCGGGACGTGCTTGCGACAGGACTGCAAGGGCGTACGGAAGCTAGGGCTACTAATGAAGCCAATGTATCCACGACACCTTCATCGGTCGCTGCCTTGCGAATCACGTCTTCACCGAGGGCAGGAGCCGAAGTGATTTGAGAAGTTAAATTGGCCGATTCCTCAGCTTGCGCTTCGGTAATGGGCTCACTTGTGGATGAATTCTTGTCATTGTTTGAAGTATCAAACGGTTCATCCAAAAATGACGAGGGGTCATAATCAGATGAATTATCTGTTTCACTCGACGAGCTTTTGTCGTCACGAGGTTTAAAATATTTGGGTGCTGGTTCCTCTGTCGAGGTAACGAGCAAATCAAAAGACTTAATCGCTTGTTTCTCTTTTATTTCAACATTTACCTGATCAAGCGGAGGGGTGGATGCGTCCATTCCGATGTCCATTGCCTCCACTTCTTCATCTACTGGAAGGATTGCTTCGGTGTTGCATTGCTCAGGATTATCATTAGAAAAATAAGTCGGTTTAGGTGAAGGTCCCTCTATTGAGGTAACGTTCATATCTGATTGATCACCGATGGTTTCAGCCGGCGATTGTGCAGCTTGTTCCATAATATCTGGAAGGGAAAGAATATATTACTAATATATTTATAGGTGGG